CGCGGGCGCGGAAATTTGTTGCACTTCTTGGGGCTTTGTTTGTTTGTTTGTTTTTCCTCGGGCTTTTCCCCCCTTTTTCGTTATTTTGGACAAAATGTCGGTCCGTGATGTAAAAATTGAGCGAGGAACCTTGGTGGCATGGGGAGCTTTGCAGAAGGTGCAGTTTGGATTCTGCTTTTCCCAGGGTGGCAGCTCGGTCTTGGCCGGATGAATCTTCGCTGCTGGCCGTGGAAACGGCTAGGGCAGCTTGTTAGTTGATTTTTAAATTTCCGAGTGTTGTGTTTAAAGGTTTTACGTGCATAGAGGAGGAATCTCCACCTTAAATAAGCATATGGGCGATTAACAGGGTATGTTTTCCTCTGGGAAAGGGAATTTGGTAGCTCTGACCAATGTCAGTCTGTAAATATTGAGACGTTATTAGTGACTTTTTAACATTTTTCAGCAAGATCTGTTATTTACAGTGTGTCATATGTTATTAATGCTGGTTGCCTAAGTTCCCTGGCAAATCTGTTTCATGCCTTCTGAGAAAGTAGACAATTGATAGATTGTCCAAGGAATGGGAAAAAAATGTGAGTGGGTTTTCTAACTTGAGTTCGGTAAATCCCTGAACGCTGGCGTTGTAAGATTCATCCTCTCCCCAGTAACCTTGCCATATGATAAGTGTGAACACTTTTGAAGCCTTTTTGTTAAGATACAATTTTAGGTTAATATTAAGACAAGAAAATGCTGTTGACCGATTTCTTACATTAACATTTCTCTCCTCTTCCCTTTTCTCTTTAAAAGTTTTCCAAGCGATAACTTCATCAAGATGTCCAGTGATAGGCAAAGGTCCGATGATGAGAGCCCCAGCACCAGCAGTGGCAGTTCAGATGCGGACCAGCGAGACCCGGCCGCTCCAGAGCCTGAAGAACAAGAAGAAAGAAAACCTTCTGCCACCCAGCAGAAGAAGAACACCAAACTCTCTAGCAAAACCACTGCTAAGTTATCCACTAGTGCTAAAAGGTAACATAGTCAGGTTGTCTTCCAAGCAGTTAGAGGCTTGTGTTTTTACATCAAGAGCAATACTCCAGAAATACTTCATGATCAGTACTTGAATTTGTACTTGAATGAATTGTCATCCTTTAGGGAGCATATAAACGTCCTCACTAAAATTATACTTCTAAGCAAACTTATTCTGTACTTTGATAACTTCAGGAAGAGTCCTAGAATAGCAATTGAACTCTCATTCTGACAGTTTAAGGAGTTGGCAAGGAAAATTTGGGGGAAACTGAATTAGATGGTACATTGAGGATATTTCCTTTTGTGAGTTATACTCTTGAGTAAAATTGACGCTTTTAGAGATCAGTAGTGTCACTCTTCATGAAAGGAAATGATCAAAAAAGTTTATATTTGCTAAAAAAAATTTTAAATGTCAGGCCTTTGCTGTTTTTGAAAGCATATTTTAAATTTGCTTAGTTTCACAAACAAGGCTTTAAATCCTGCATAACACGTATAACTTTTTGTAGTTAAATTATAGTTATCCCTCCTTGTTCTTGGGAGAGCAAATAAAATTAAAAAGTAGCCATTAACAATCTTAGGTGTCACTTTGCCATTGAAAACTTTCATTGTCTTTGCACCCCTTTACTCTTAAAACTTGTAAATGTTCTTGACATAGTAATAATACTCAGCAGCAGGAAAAACATTTTGTTGGGTGTAAGTGAAAGATTATTTGTTTCCTGCTGACTTTTATTTTCTATGATGGAAAAAAAAAAAAAGGATTCCATCAATGGGACTCCATCAGTGATAGTGGTTGTACTGAGTAGAACTCTTGTAATCATACATAAAATATATCTTTAGCATTACGTAGTGTTGATATTTTGTTGATTTTCATTGATCTCAACTAAAGAAAAAAATGTAAACTGATCAACTTATGCATTTTATAGTGACATATGTTCTTATTTTTCTATAGATTTTCACCATCATTCTATCATTAATCAAACACTAATAAACTTGAGAATATTATATTGAATAGCAGCAGTCTTTGCAATAATTTAAAATTCTTCTCAGTTTGTTGTAATGTTGTGGAGAGTAACATTAAACAAGTTTTGAAAACATTTTAAATTTCAAGAAAATCAGAGAAATGCTCTTTTTCTCCTTACCTCATGGCTATACATCTGATCCTCTTTCCTCCAAGATTATTAAATTTATGTGCTGTACCTAAGATCAGAGAAAACAAATGGTTAAATAAGATTGCCAAAATAGTCCTTGGAAGTTTTTCATTGGTAAAGATATTTGTAAATTTTAAACTTTTTTTAAACAGACAAAATATTGGCAAAACTATTAATGTGCTCTTGCAGTAGCTTGCTAATTTTTACCACAGTAAAAGTGGCTTGAAGTCATTGTCAAATATTCTAGTGCTTTCCCTCCTCCCTTTTTGTCTCATTTGCATATAAGCTTGAAAAGAGAATTTCTTTGGTAAAAAGTGTTTTAAAATAGATTTTATATCCTTTGCTGAGTAGTAGTGGAGGACTTTCTCAAATCAGGTGTAAATGACTTACCTATTTGCAGTAGCAAGTGAGAAAAAAAGCTGCAAAGTTTCTGTTAAGGGATTTGGGTTATGCCTCTGAGAACAAAGAGGAAGCAGCCATGTTAGCATTACTGAAGGCAAAGCCAGCCTTGCATTTAACTGCATGGTGGTAGAGGGCAGTGTAATTCCCCGGTTATTCTGTAGACTATCTCAAATCCTTTTTGTCTGTTCTCATTTCACTAACAGAATTCAGAAGGAGCTAGCTGAAATAACCCTTGATCCTCCTCCTAACTGCAGGTAAGAAATAAATTTTGTTGTTTTGATTTCTAAATTGTGGAAAGATACCAGGAGATGAATGTATTGTCCTTGTATATATGTGCAGCAGAAGAAGCTAGCTAGCTATGCTTCTTTACAGCTTTGCAAGTGCATTAAACAAAAATTGTCTAGGTGAATTAAATAAAATTGGGAGAAAAATACTCTTTAGCATGTATCATACATTCTGGACTTATGAATATACTGATTTTGTTCTTGCTGAGATTAGTTTGAATGGTGCTGATTTCTCTGTTTTATTTCTGTGGGATGTATTTATTCACAAGTATTTTGTAGAAACTTGTAAAATTTCAAGCTTTAAAGTTATTGCTTGTGTGCAATCTGAACTGACCTTCCAAATTTAGAAATTGCTGAATGTGATGTTACAAAATGTAAATGCAGTAAACAGGAGTATAGTTGTTTCTGTTTGATTTATTCAGTAACTTGCCTTAAGGACAAATTTTATGTGCTAAGCTAATGGTTTTAGTTGTTATTTTCTAGAAAACACATTGTTGGAATTATTTACGTTTTAAGCAAATGTCCTAATGACTTGGGAAAATTCTTAATAAGCAGTAAATGAATTGGAATTGTGGGAAGAATTAGTTTCAGTGGAACTCAGAATAATTTAAGATTGATTGGCATAAGTTGTATTAAAAGTTGCTGGTTGATAATTTTTCTCAATTTTTTCATTTGCGTCTTATATAGTATTCTGTTTATGGTTTGAATGGTGACTGTATGGTTGACAGAATTCATGAGATTTAGAAAGCAGTATTATAAATAATTTGCATAGAAGTATGTGCTCAAGAATGAGAGAGGAAGGGATGCTAGAATTAAGGCAGTGTTGTGGTTTGATATAAAAATATTTTGGTGTCTAAGCTGTGTTTTTGCTACAAATTGTGATTTGCTCCTGTTGATCAGAACCATCTCCGAAGTCTACTTGAGACAAAATAAGGCATAATCCATTTGTTTCTTATTGTGTGTGTTAACCAGATCCTCAGATTAGGTGATCTGATCCTGATTTATCCAGTGAATTAACAGTTTTGCTTATATTTGTGGTCACAACCATTTCAGTTCAAAAAGGAGACGTGAGTGTGAACTAATTATAAACAGAGTGGTATGTCAGATCTCAAAATATTACTTAAGAGGTATACTGTCCAATAATGTAGCCACTAGCCGTGTCTGACTATTGACCAGGTTGTTGTAGTTAGTTGAAAATGGGGTGTGCTGTAAATATGAAATGCATACCGGATTTTGAAAACTTAGTAAAAGTTGTAAAAGAATAAATATTTTAGAAATATTTATTACATATTGAAATGATAATATTTGACTTTTAATAAATGCTTTTAAAATTGTATTTTTCACCATTTTAGCATAGTTATTAGAAAATTCAAAGTTACTTGCATTATATTTTTGCTGAACACTATTGCTTTAGAGAAGAAGTAAATCAGTATTTCCTTCTAGCCTTCTAAATGGAGTGACAAATCTGTAGCCATTTAAGGAGGTCAAGTTAAATTTGCTCTGTGGAAGAATCACTTAACTTGCAGAGTGTATTCTGATAATTCCCATTATGAAAGATGTAGAGATCTATCAATTTAAAACTCACATGTCTTAAAATTGCATGTAAGGTCAAACATTTTTAAAGGTTTCTGTTGATTTTCTGCAAATGGCTTAAACCAGTGTATGAGCATACATCTAGAGAGCACAGTAGACATATTGAATGCCCTCAGAGCAATGATGTACTGGTGCATTTGCTGAAGAAATCTGCTTTACGAGTTTAACCCAGGACTGTTTTCACAAGGTCACAGGATTATTTTAGAAGGAATAGAATCTTTCTGTGCAATAGAAAGTTAACTTTCACTTATGTATATTTTTCTCTTTATATACCAGATTTCATTTAAGTTCATGAAATAATGCTTAACATTTAGTGGTTTAACTAGTGAAGCAGTGAAACTTGGGCTTTTTTGTGCACAATAACATAGAATACTTATCTCTATTTTCCTCTGTCACGGTCTTTGGTAACTGTTGGCTATTGCAAATGACATATATTAAGTTCTCTAGTTCTTTAATATCTGAGTTTCTTTGTGGATGTGTAAGTGATTCAGGAAAAAACAAATGTAAAATACAAATTTCTCAGGAAATTAGAAGTTGTTTCTTACTACTTTGGGGAGAGACTTTTTCCCATATACCTCATGTGTAAAATAATCTAGATGCTTTTGTGTGTCTTTGGATTCTTTTGGGTAGAAGGTTTAGTTCTTATAATTTTGATAGAAAAGCCTAAATTTATATTGTGTTTTTCCTTTTGTGTCAGATAATGCAATAGATTGTAGTATTATATTCTTTTAATCCATAACAGTGTAAATGAGAGTTTTAGCTTTATGGTAGTTGTATTATTTAGATTTGTTAATTTATGCTATAATTAAAAATAGGTTTCCACAATCATAAATATGTTTAAGATTTGTGGGTTAATATTACCTGAGACCTTTGAAACTTAATACTTTCTACTTTCATATGTAGTTATTTAATCAGATTCCCTTATGGTTTTGGGTATGTTTGTGTGTGTGTGTGTGTGTGTGTGTGTGTATGTATGTGTATAAACTTGTCAAAGTATGTGACAGTGTTAATTCTTCCTCAGGGAAGAAATGTAAAGTATATCTGGGTACATTCAGGAAAATGTTGAATGAAATACAGGAAAACCAAAATTATTTGTACTAGGGATATTTTTCTTAAATCCCTTCCTTTGTTTTAATCAATAAAATATTCTTTAGTTACATATCCAGGGTGGTCTTCGGGTAGATGTCATTGTCAGATTAAATGTATGACTTTAAAGATGTTTGATTATATGTCAATAGGAGTATTTCTTTTAGTAAAAAAAGGTTGATAAAGATGTCATTTCTAATGATTTTTAAATTTAAATATCAGCGGGCTGTGGGCCAATGCGTCTTAAACACAGGGATGTAATATGTGTTTTTGGTTTAAATTTATACTCTTTACATTCTTTATTTTAGATTAAGGTATAAAAAAAGTCAATTCACCCGTGAGTGTGAAGGGAAATTGTTATGAACATTTCCCTATCTTTATTTTAGAGAAAGTTATAGACAAGAATTGTTTAGTAATGTGTTGACATTTATGTTCTATTTCTCAAAGGGTATCCTTCCTTGTCCATTTATAGTCAGCACTTGTGTAAATAGCAAAAGTTTAGAAAGGTGCTAGATTTCTAATTTAACCCTGAATTTCTTTTCCTGTATGAGAGGGTACAAATATGTACTCCTAAATATTAATGGGTTTGGACTGAATCTATTTTAAAAAAGATATTCAGGGATATTTGTAAATCGTTTTTGGATGAGGGAAAGGCCTTATTGGGGGGTGGATATTACAGTTTCAAGTTTATATGAATAATATGTAGACTAGAAAAATATGAAATCAGATACTATAATACTTGCTAATTTTGTTAACTTGATTAAAAAAAAAGACAAAGAAGAAGCATAAGTTCTAAAATAGAAGTTGGCAACCCTTAACTTGCACATAAGACTAATTTTCTGAGGATGAACTGTGCGTGTTTCTGAGGTTGCCATGTCTCACCATTGTCCAGTTTAGATTAGAACTTTGCTACTTAAAGGGTGATCTGCAGACCAGCAGCATCTGCATCACAGGTGTGATTGTTAAAACTCAGAATGTTGCTTGCCTCTAACCAGAAGTACTGAGTCAGAATCTGAATTTAATAGGATTGCCAACTGCATTGTGTGTGTATTAAAGTTTGAAAAATCCTGCCTCTGAAGCAAGACTGTTCAGAGCCATACTGTGCCACTTCTGGCATGTCATTTTATATAAGTTATGGAATATTTTTGTCCTTCAGTTTCCCCAGTTATAAAATGAAGATTAAAATGATCTCCCCGTTGTAGAGTTGTTGTGAGGATGAAATGAATATGTTGAAAGTTTTGTTAACTGCATAAATTGGATCCCTAAAGTAGACACAGCATGATAAAAGTAGGCGAGGCAGTTTAGCAGCATGCCCTCACTCTTGCTGGTATTTGCTCTAGTGCATCAACATCCTACTGTAGGATAATTTCATCTTAATTCATCATCTAATTATTGAGTACATATCAAGCAGTTTGTTTTTAATGTGAGTAAAAGCAGGTTTTTTTAAACTTGAGTTAAACCAGAAAATTGGCCTAAAAGTGTTGGTCATAGATGAATAAATACTATTTCTCTTCCAAAAAATATGCGTAAACCCTTGATACTTAAAAAAGAATGATATGGGGCTAGGGCTGTAGCTCAGTGATAGAGCGCTTGCCTAGCATGCATGAGGCACTGGGTTTGATCTTAAGCATCACATAAAAATAAAAAAACAAATAAAATAAATACACTCTGTCCATCTACAACTACAAAAAAAATTTTTAAAGAATGCTGTGACTATGACTACCCAGTAAAGTATAATAAAAATTTTTAGATAGTGGTATTAGTTAATGTCTCCCCCTTTAGATGTCCCAATTTAAGAGTTTGTGATTTTATTGAGAATGCAGTAATATCAGTATTTGTAAAATTTAAACTCATAATGGTATAGTTTTCCAGTTACTTCAACATAATGTGTAATTCCAGGCAAAACAGTGAGTTTGAATCAGAAAAAATTATCAAATAACTCATATTCTTTACTGTTTTCATAATTGTGATATTTAATATTGTTCATTCAGAGATTATTTAGCTATCGTTTCTATTTGCTTATAAGAAATAATTGATAATTACGGGAATCCTAATTATTTCTCCCATATATACCAGTGCAGCAGTAGGACTCAGTACCGTTGAATGGCTAAAAACATTTTCCAAAGGGGGGAGTGATTGAAAATAATATCTCCCCCACCCAAATGTCACATTTTTATTAGATGTCTATTATGTTCAGTGCAGATAATGTAAGGAGAAAGTGGGTGAAAACCTTGGGTTCTTTTTAAAAAGCTAAATGGCTATTTCACAGTTACATGTAGCAAATTGTTATT